CCAGAGTATGAATGTTGGTACCATTACTGAAGGCCTGAATGATGTTTTCCCTCATTATTGCTCATTTGGAAAGAGTAGCGCTGACACAAAATGATTTTAACCTGCTCTATTTCTAGCTGAATAACTCAAAATGTTTTTCAGTGATTCTTACGACAAATGGTGTCATGAAGGCTAAACATCTGAAAACCTGGAAAAAAGAAATTCACTTAGTTTAGTGGGTTTTTTTTAAAGATATTAGACATTTTGTTGGATTGACAGTTATATTGTAGCAGGATTTGGACAATTTTGCTGTTACACTTGGTATATGGTAATTTTCCCATAGAGAAAAAATTCAGTTAATGCTTTACTTTCAGATCATACTATGTGTATTGTGTTGTAATGGATATCGGCTCTGGATGAGAACTTGGTAGAGCCGAGTTCGAATTCCAGCCAAGTTCGTTATATTCACTTACGCACAAATACCCTTGAGAAAAGTATGAATCAACCTCTTCTACTCCCAGCTATGGGTTGAATAGAGGATAGACTGGGTTCTTTAGCCTTGGATGACAATCAGTCTACCGCAGGTGGAAGTGTCACCCCACTTCGGGAAAAATCTTTTGCCTTCTCAGAAAGATACATGATTTCCCAAATGTGTATCGTCGTTGTAAAACCAACATATGGATTAACATTTTTATCAGAGATACAATCTCCCAAAGGACATATAAATTGATATACAATTTAAGTAAGACGCTAATTGATGGAAAAGAGGTATTATGGGTGACTAGGTTGGTTGTAATAAATTTAGTATCGTATATAATCAATTTTATTTTTTTTACTTGGATCAATGAGGGATATATTAGTCCTTATGAGTTTTTTATAAGTTTTTCTTCCTGCTTATAGCTAGAATGCATTTAATTACTGTTGTGGATTCCGAGATGAAATCCAGTCTCAAATGAATGACAAACGCAGGAATGAAATATAGCAAATAAATGTAATGACGTAATAATACAATTGGTAATACGGTTAGTAGATCCAGAAATGCGGTTAGTAGCAATAATAATATATATACAGTCTGGGAAATTCAGTATCGAAGTATGACTTCCTTCTGAGTCTACGTGCTCGAAACTGTGACTCCTACAAAGCGGTTAACTCACTCTCTCACTGTATCAGTGTGTCCTTCTCTTACTGTCTAACTCCCGGGCATTCACCGGCAGCAGTACAAGTACACACTGAGCGAGTCCACTTGTATGAAAAAGAGGTGGACCCCATAAACAATTACTGAATAGTAGTTTGATATGTTTAGAGTTATTGGATGATGTATTATGTTAATTTTCATTTATGTTTATATTCTCAGTAGTCCTTCTAATTCGTTCATCAACAAAGTACAGTGTAACCCGGATATAAGAAAGTTGTCGGGACCGGAGAAGAAGTCTCTTATATCCGGGTTTCTCTTATATCCTGGTTTGGTCTATTTTGTTAAGGTAAGTATGGGCTCTAATTTGGGACCAGATAAAATCTCTCTTATATCCGGGTTTCTCTTATATCCGGGTTTGGTCTATTTTGTTTAGGTAAGTATGGGCTCTAATTTGGGACCAGATAAAATCTCTCTTATATCCGGGTTTCTCTTATATCCGTGTTTGGTCTATTTTGTTTAGGTAAGTATGGGCTCTAATTTGGAACCAGATAAAATCTCTCTTATATCCGGGTTTCTCTTGTATCCGTGTTTGGTCTATTTTGTTTAGGTAACTATGGGCTCTAATTTGGGACCAGATAAAATCTCTCTTATATCCGGGTTTCTCTTATATCCGGGTCTCTTATATCCGGGTTACACTGTAATTAGACTTGAAAGGATTAAAAATTAAATAAATAAGTCTAAATAATAAGTCTAAATTATTTAACCAAACATGCTTGAATGAAAATCTGCATGCATTTATGTATATATGTGTATCTGCATATGGTGGTGTGATATATCAATTTACAGTATTGTTTCAAGCTAATATTTTACAATATATATTTTTGAACTTAAACTAACTGAAAACTTTAAGGATTGTAAGTAGGGTTAACTTTCGTACCAGTTTCCCTTGGAGTTTTCCTCATCTTCTCTATTCGTGGATAATGTCGGGTCCGTACCGATGTGATCATTTTTGTATTAACGTTTGAGATGAAGAATTATCTTTGTTGAATACTGATTATTTTTTTTTTACTCTCATTTTTGTATTTATGGTCTTAACGTTTCGATTATTGTACCCTTCAGGTTTCTTCAGGTGCTGGTCATATTCAGTAACCTTCTCAGGAGTTCGAAACGAAACCTTTATTAAATGCACAGATGCAGACTGTTTTCAATCTGCTATTCATGTTAAAGGATATATAATATTAGATTGCAGTAATTTGTGTCTCTTCACAATTCTCTGCTTTACCGGGTGACTGGAAAACCAAGTCATAGAGAATGTGTTTAGGATATCAAAAATATATATATATGCTGCTGAATTATGATCTATTTTAGACTCTCACAAACAGATATTTATTGTTAAATGTTTCCTTCTTCTTCTTCTTCTTCTTCTTCTTCGTCGTCGTCGTCGTCGTCGTCGTCTTTTTCCTCTTTCTTCTTCTTCGTCGTCGTCTTTTTCTTCATCTTCACCTTCTTCGTCTTTTTCGTCTCCCTCTTTGTCTTCTTCATCTTCGTCGTTGTCTTCGTTCTCTTCATCTTCGTCTGCTTCTTCTTCTTCTTCTTCTTCTTCTTCTTCTTTGTATCGTGTTCTTTCAGGGCGTTGGCGATCGTGGCTCTCCACAATTTCCTGTCCTTTGAAGCTCATAGCAGTTTTTGTCTTTTTGCTATCTCTCCTAAACCCTGTACTGACAGCTATTTACACAAGCTCATTAAGTAGGTTATTCTTTGCTTTGCTCTTGCCTTCAATGTCCTGTGAGTGTTAAATTAACCAAGCCTTCTTTACTCATGTGCTCTATCAATTTCCAATGGGGAAGAAGAAAAAATTGAAAAGCGTGTTAATTTATATTATAAAGTGCCGACGTTCTTATGTTTCTTTTGAATTTGTTTCAACAGACCCCTGATGAAAATGGTCGAAACTTCGTGATAATAACGACAAAAATGCGGAAATAGTATGTTCTCACTGTTGACGCATACCTACGGACGATAATGGGTATGTCTCCATTCACATAAATACAGTAGTAAATACTGTATGATGATCTGCAATTGGAGATTCGTCTCCAGCTGTGCTTATCAAACCCTCTGCCTCCGGGCAGAGAGGATCCCAAGACGAGGTTATGTCGAAGGGCAGAGTCTCATCTCCGGAAACAACTACCAGACCCCGTTTTATACGGGGTCTGCGGGAAAACCCAGCCGAGCGTACGGGCTCAGATAGTCCACATTAAATTCGGCCTTGTGCCGCATCTTACCGCGTAGGATTGTTGATAGATATCCTGCAGGCGGTGATTCATTGTGGAATTCACTTGACTCACTTCTAACAGTTGACTACTACTTCTACGCGCCGCTGGCGAATCGTATATGTGTTGTTCTTGTCCTAAGTATTATCGGTCATTACCAACCTTCGTTTTTTTTATTCCATTCAGAAACTTTCCCGATGTTACAACACTCATCCTAGAAATTAATTCAGAAAGCCACATCAAAATTTTCAACTGCTGAACTCCAGGTTGTCATGAAGTTCCTGTTACCGCCGATCAAAACGCTTGAGTCTATGCCACAAACATTTGGCTACAAGTACCAGTCATACTCAATTCTGAAAAAGTGTCATACTCAAGATGCAGCTGAGTCTGGGTTGCCTTCAACGGTCATAACCTCTGAAATTTTTTATGATATTGCTGGACTAATTTTGGCCGATTCACAAAGGTCGGCTGTAGAAATTACAGAGCCATTAAAGATGTCCGGACAATGTGTTGATTTTATAATTCATGACCAGCCGGTAAGGCAGCAGCTCTCAGTCAAGTAAGTGGAAGCATTTTTAAACGCCGACAAAAAACGATAATGCAGTTTTTTTAAAAGTATCTTATTCACGCCAGTTAAATGCTAGATAGTCTTAATCAAATTTAATGCGAATAAGGAACGTTTTTTTCCAAAGAGAATTTGATCTGTGGTGACCCTAGTATGTAGTGTGCCAACCTTGGATATAGTCTTTGAAAAATACACTTTGCAGTCACTCTCCCACCTGACCATCAGAGAAGCCATGTGAATCAGCCGGTTGACCTGGAAGATATTCTCCTAGTCACTGGATGTAGATTCGCGCCTCACAGGATGTCACTGGCAGCTTCCAACATGCAAAGATCTGTTCTGTCTAGCTGCACACAGAATGTGCACGCGTGGGAACAGCCGAAGTCGGGAAGGTTTGTAAGCATCCTCTTGACGAGGAAAAGATAGAAGGGAGCCACTTGCATCCACGCGAGACGAAGAATCAACCTTTGGAGAAGACTTCAAAGGAACACACTCACTTGCTGATGTTAACTGACATTGTCCTGGATTGAGCAAATAATTTACATATGAGATGTTTACATTCACTTTCTTATTAGAAGTATTAGAATAATATTATCAGCAATTTACCGATAAATTATCATTGTTCATGAAATATGGCTACACCCGGTGACGTTGGAATAATTCATGCCGTGGTGGCAATTGAGTTCACCACGGGTGAATAAATTCATAGGCCAAAATCCAGCAGGTAACTTCATGTTCATGGGTCTTAAGATAAGGAGAATATTACTTTGGTTGTCGAACTTCAGAAGGTCGAAAGAGTCTACTTTGCTTCGCAGTTGAAAGAAAAAAGACGAAGAAAGCTACAGCAAAGTGATCCCTTTCCTGTTCACATGGCTGTCAAGGTGATGGATGTTTTGGAAAATTTGTGTTTTAAATGCAAAGACCACCCACCGTGCTCATCAGAGTTGCTCCATTTGAATATTTCCAATTTCTAAAATTTTAAAGGACTTACCCACCGAACAAATGACGTTGCTAAAAACGTTTCTCCAACGTTGCAAAGAGAATGTAAAAAACGTATCTATAGATACCCCCACGGGATAGATAGATAGATAGATAGATAGATAGATAGATAGATAGATAAGAAAACAAAACTAGATAGATAGATACATAGATAGAAAAGAAAAAACAAAACTAGATAGATAGATAGATAGATAGATAGATAGATAGATAGATAGATAAAACAAAACTAGATAGATAAATAATAAAACAAAACAAGATAGATAGATAGATAGATAGATAGATAGATAGATAGATAGATAGATAGATAGATAGATAGAAAAGAAAAAACAAAACTAGATAGATAGGGAGAAAGATAGATAAGAAAATAAAACTAGTTAGATTGTTAGATAGATAGATAAATAGATAGATAGATAGATAAGAAAACAAAACTAGATAGATAGATAGATAGATAGATAGATAGATAGATAAGAAACAAAACTACATAGATAGATACATAGATAAAAAAAACAAAACCAGATAGATAGATAGATAGATAGATAGATAGATAGATAGATAGATAGATAGATAAGAAAACAAAACTAGATAGATAGATAGATAAATAGATAGATAAGAAAACAAAACTAGATAGATAGATACATAGATAGATAAGTAAAACAAAACTAGATAGATAGAGAGAAAGATAGATAAGAAAACAAAACTAGATAGATAGATAGACAGATAGATAGATAGATATGAAAAAACAAAACAAGATAGATAATCGAACCAAAACTAGATAGATAAAAAACAGAACTAGATAGATAGATAAAAAAAGAAAGATACATAAATAAGAAAGAAGAAAATGAGATAGATAGATAGATAGATAGATAGATAGATAGATAGATAGAAAGAAAGAAAGAAAGAAAGAAAGAAATATCAGAACAGACCTAGATATATGTGGAGGCGAAGGAAAACACGATCAATGATCGGTATGGGTAGTCAAATAGCTAGGTAGAAATGAAATGATTGATGCAAAGGTTTTCAGGTTATTTTAGAAAAACTCTTGTATCAATTTTTTAGTAGGAATATTTAATCTTCAAATTATTTCCATTGCTTTGTATGACATTAACAATTTTCAGTTAACCTTCTGTATTCCATCAAAAAAGTACGATTACTCCTTTCCTTTTCTGAAATCTTCATGGTGTTTTTTATTCCTTGAATAAATGTCGAGATTAAATGAATTGCCTGGAGCGAAGCGAATCATCGCCCGAAATTAAATTTTGGGGGTCAGTGATTCTTGAACTTTCCCAATGACAAGGCCCTTCTAACGTGGCAAATAAGTTGTCTTGTAATGTCAAATTGCCAGAAAGATGGATAATAAATTCTAGGAAGAAATTAGGACGTGCATTCATCGAATTATTTATAGATTCTCAATCTAAAAAATACAAAAATAAATGTTATTCCTTCTATACATATTGTTAAGTGAAGAAAAAGGCTTCTGGTTTTATTTAGCCAAATCCGGAATTTTTTCAGCTGCAGCACTTCGCATCGTTACCATAGAGCGAAATTGTGGTCAAGCGGTCAGTTTGGGGTAGTTGATTTCAACGTTACATTAACGTCGCTAAGTTGTCAAATGTCTCTCACCTCAAATACAGTGTGCCTGTAATGTTGCAGCCAATATCTTTTTGTGCCGGAAGGTAAGACATTTTCGATTTATTCAATGTTGATAGCAAAAGCAGAGCACTATTTCAATTATCAAACTTTTTTTTTCTCTAAAGATTAACTGTGGGAAATAGTTTCGATGAATAGAGTTGAAACACATGTTGAAATTGTTTTCATTTTGCCTTTGATGCTCTTGGGTGGGAAAAATCGTGACCTAACCATTTCAAATAGGTCAGATCAGGCTAACTCTCACCTGGTGCCAATAAAAAGAATAAAAGTCTGTTGTGCCTATTGTCAGTCATGACAAGATTCAATAACCATCCAAATACATTTTCCACCTCTTAACATATATATATATATATATATATATATATATATATATATATATATATATATATTATGTGAGTGCATATTTCATTTCATAGCGTATCAGAATTATTTTGTCAAATTGATACATAATAAAAAATTGAAAACCGGTTTTTCTCCTGAATGTTTTCTACATAAATATGTTCTTTTTATTTCACTCTAACTTTTTTTTCTCGCTCACGGTCTCGTTCACACGAAACTCATATAAAATTATATTGTTTAAAATTTGATATATTTATGGCGGATGAGAGCTCAATCCATACACGCACATATCACATACAGAGAATAGTGATTGAGAGAGAGAGAGAGAGAGAGAGAGAGAGAGAGAGAGAGAGAGAATGAACCAATTGGTAAGTACAAAAGCAGACTAAACTGTATAAAAATAGCAAACAAACAAACAAACAGGGATGCACATTGTCACAAGTCAACAATGTTCAATGCTTTTGCATAAAGAAACATGAAATGTCACATTAAACCAAGACAGATCCTCGGTTAATGACAGCTTTGGCAGGAAACGCAGAGATACGTCTGTAGGCAGATGCCACTTGATATACATCAGGATATTGTCATATATATATATAAATATATATATATATATATATATATATATATATATATATATATATACATATATGAGTGTGTGTGTGTGTATATGTATATATACATCAGGATATTATCATATATATATATGTATATATATATGTGTATCTATCTATCTATCTATCTATATATATATATATATATATATATATATATATATATATATATATATATATATATATATGAGATTAAAACAAAATTTGTCATTTAGTTGATTGATGTTACATTCCAGAGTTTCATAGGCGAAACATTTTGCAATTATTTGCTACACTCGTCAGAAAATTTTGTAATCGTTCGGCCCGATCGTGAGCAGCTTTCGGCAACTGTGTATTTCTCTCTCTCTCTCTCTCTCTCTCTCTATATATATATATATATATATATATATATATATATATATATATATATATATATATGTGTGTGTGTGTGTGTGTGTGCGTGTGTGAGAGAAAGAATGAGAGAGATCAATAATTCGATTTTCTAGTATGCCTAGCTAAAGTTTAGTTTCACTGAAGAACAGAAACGCTGGTTTGATTTCTACACAAAGTACATTTTCATCAATAAAAACATTTCTTTCAATTCGAATTCGATTATGTCGAGAAATTTTAACTTCATTGTATGTACAAAAACACGTATAACTCCATTAACATATGCACCAACTGAAATAATGTTCATAATAATAATGATATATACGAGTGTTTGTAATTTCCCGTCATATATATATATATATATGTCTGTGTGTGTGTGTGTGTGCGTGTGTGTGTGTTCTTTTGTATATATATATGTTCTTTTTATATATATATATATATATATATATATATATATATATATATATATATTGTTTTTGTATTTACGGGTAAAATTGTTTAGTTAAAGACGACTGACAAGATATTGTGATTAAGTTTTTAATTTTATTTTTCTTGTGTTCGTACAAGTCTTCTTTTCTGGACATAAAGTGTATAAAACTGTTCAAAATTTCTACATATCCTAGAGATTTCGGCTATTCTTTAAGCCATTATCAAGGACGATTTTTACTTTTTATTTTTGACTAAATGTGTGGGTATATTATCTATGTGCCTAAGTTATAGGAATGTTTTATTTTCTAAACACGGTCAACACATTGTGGTCATGTTCGTAATTAATGTTATTACGTGTTGGAATTTACTTGCTTATTATGAGGGTTTCCATTATTTTTATCTTTTTTACATGTGGATGAAGCTATTATACTTATATTTTCTAGTAATATGTTTCGGATGGAGTTTAGTAGGTGTACATATGTGTTTAAATTAGTCCTAATTGAGCTATGGTCAGGTAGATGTAACGTGAGTCGTCTGGACCGGCATTTAGTTGTATGGTCAAGATAATTATTTGTGAGTTTGGTTTGATTAGAAAGGTGCATTTGAACTCGTAAATAAAATGGCTTCTCTGTAGTTTTGATTTTTTCAACAAGACATAAGTGACATCTATTTTTTCCCGTTATAAGATTTTGATCTTATTATGATATTCCATTTGATAAAAGTTGGATTTCCATCATTCTTTAATTTCCAGTAATATTTAGAGACAGCTATTTCTGTACTTTATATTACTTAATGTCATTCAATAATGGTGTGAACAAAATTTCCAAGGATTTTCAGTGGAATCAAAATAAAATTTAACATCGCTACCGGAATGTATGTTAGCTCGGTATACAATATTATCGGTCATACATTGACCGTTTAAGGGACAGGTCATATTTTTTCGGCAGTTGCATTTTTTTTTTTAAATTAACGTTGCCTTTGTTGGAAATATATTTGTTTAATATAATGTTATGTTGGGATATAAGTTTGTCTTTGTTATTAACGCAGCCATAGCTAATCTTAATTTTTGTTAGCCCTAGAACACTGACCATGGTTATATAGTATTCAGCGCATTCTTTTTTATTTTTAATTACAATTTTCAGTACCTGATTTTCTTAACTAAATAATGTTTTTCAGTTCCTATTAATGTTAACTCAAGTACAAAGTTTGAAGTGCCTGCATGTAAAATATTTAAAATAAAGTTTTAATATTTTTTTTTATATTTTCAAAATCGGGGATGATATACCCATGGTTAGTAGTGGTGTAACTTTAATTGATGGTTAGGGTTAGAGAGTTAAAAATCTTTTTTTAGTGATGGTGAATGGTAAAAGTACTTATGAATTAAATTTAGGAAAATTCTTTCGATATTAGTTTGAACATCAAAAGGTAGATTAAACCATGTGATGTTACGCAAACGTTGTTTCTGTTTATTTTTATCTTCTTTTTTTTTCTAAACACTCTAAATTTACTTTATGATTGCTTAGTTTTAAAACCTTTATATATTTAATGTTATTATTATTAAATATTTCTTTATTGCTAGAGTTGGTATATCATCTAACTTGGACTGATTTATGTAAGTTTTTTAGAATTATATGAGGGTCGTTTGATCCTTTACTGATGTATCTATGGTTATATAGATCTTTGTTATATGGTTTATAATAACCATTATCCAAGTCTAAGATCACATCGAAGAAGTTGATCACTTTAGCTATGTTGGTAGCGGTAATATTTAGTTCATGATCTTAAAAAAACATCATTTCCTTTCTCAATCGGTCTATATTTCGTGTGCTTGTTTTACGGAAGCGAATTACACAGTCATCTCTATAGATTCCGTTGGTTTTAATGTTGAAAATAAATCAAAGTCACCACAATAATAAGATTCCAACAAGTCTGCATACCTTTGCGAAATCATATGCTCCCATTGCAATATTAAATTCCGTGTTACTTCTTTTGGTCCACAGATAACCATTGTGGAATGGTATAGGTTTTTTTTTACCTAGTTTTTGATATTTATTTCGCGTTCACTAATAGGACAGTATTTTTTTTTTGTTATAAAGGCTGTTCCAATAACTTGGACCAATTTTAAATGTGAATTAAGTTTAAACGTCTAATGATCTTTTTCTTTTTCTTTCAGATTTAGCAACTTAAGTCTTTGGCAATTTCAATCATGGAAAGATTAACAATCTAACAACGTGTTAGAGTTTCAAGAGTGCAATTGGAAAAAATTGTTCGTTAATTCAAACAAACTGGGTGCTCGTTTACGCCGTTCAACTGAAAACATTGCTGCAGTGCACAAGAATATGGCCGAAAATCCAGACCCCTCTATTCGTCATCTCGCGCAGGAATTGAACCTCTCCACGACAACTTTACATCGTTTCCAATTGCAAACTCGGTTGGTCGACCAAAAAATCGCGAAGTGCGTGAAATGCATTTCTGTTTGAACGTCCATTTTCGTAATATGCTTCGATAACTTTAACACGTTGTTTGATTGCGAATCTTTCCATGGTTGAAATTACCAAAAACTTAAGTTATTAAATCTGAAAGAAAAAGAAAAAAAAAATCATTAGATGCTTAAACTTAATTCGCATTTAAAATCGGTCCAAGTTATTGGAACAGCCTTTCAGAGCAAACATTAGCAAATTCTCGGCGATGAACGGGTAAAAGTCACAAATATTGAAACGGATAAATGTTTATTCATCCTTCCTTTTTATATTAGTAAACCATTCTAGGGCTTCTGCTGTTTTATACCACCGATTAATTCCTAGAGCATTTTTCGTGTATTGCTCTTTTAAGGATGCTTTTGCTGAATTTACCGATATTATTTTTAGTTGGGTTGAGTAATCGATATTGAGGGTTGTTTAGGAGATTTTTCTTGTGGTCTTTAAATGTGATGAATGCTTGTTTGAGGAATCTGTAGATTCTGTCATCAATTTTTAGTTCAGTGGCTATTTTCCCGGTTTCATTATTGATGGTATTTTCCAAGTTGTTGGTCGTCTTTTTATAAAATTTATTAATTTCCTTGTTAATAGCTTTATGGTACATAACCGAATCGATTTTGCAATAGTTACCCGCCTTATCTGCTTTGATAATTATTGTAATATATTTTTTTATTATCATAGAGACATCCTTTAGCATTTTTTTTGTGCCGAGGATCGTTGATAGTTTTAGCGAATATAGTTTTATCTGTTACCAAGAATAAATCTTTCTCAAAGTCCAATAATAGTTCGTCGCATGCTGGTGTTTTTTTTTGGGGGGGGGACTTAAAGCAAAAAGCTCGACATCTTTTAAATTGTTATACTCGTTCTTGTGTTTATAGAAGAAGAGTTTCCACCTCATTCTTTTTATGACGCTCTCGATCTTGTGTAAAAGGTTCAACTTATAAGATCTTTTATCAGGAATCATGTTTTTGCGGAGTAGTCTAAGTTAATTGGTTCCATATTCAGATAACGGTTAGGATACAAAGTATGAACCTTTTATTACAACTATAAAAGTGCTAATTATTTATATTATTCGGACTATTGTCCTCATCTTTGTCGCCATATTTATTTCAACGTTTCAGCCTTTGAACGTTCCGGCCTTCTTCAGGTGGTTGGAATGTCGAACTGAACCCTGGGGTAGACTGTTCTACTTCCACCTGTCATGTTTAATGGATGTCAGTTATCTGTTACCTGTTAATGTCCCACCCCAAGTTCTCCACTGCCTAGACCGGGTATTGAACTCACACTCTTTGGGTCCTGTCACTGGATCTAACTAACGCCATTATCCACTGTGCCATGACAACTAAAAGATGTAAAACATAAATATAATTACAATATATCGCACATATAATGCTGGTATTAATAAGACAGTTCTCGATGTAATACAATATAGCTATTAAGTATATATTAATAAATATACATATTATATCTTATTGATAGCAGGACTCGGAGTTTCATGCAC